GGCAATCCCCACTCAATAAGCTTTTTGTACCCTTCAGGAGGAACAAAGTTTATGCTTCTTGAAAGCTTTACAAAACATCCATTTCGGTCAACCGCGGATCACATTTTCAAGTCCGTTTTGTGTGGCAGGTGTGGGACGGTCAATTATCACCCTCTTTTAAATATATAAGATTTTAAAGCTTTTGGAGGGCGGGAATGCGACCGGGGTACGACAAAGCTCCATGCTAGGATTCTACGGGGAAAGGGTGTGCAGAAGAAGAAACCAACCATGTTCACTGTGGGAAGCTCAACAAGCGCAACTTTTGTCCTACCAGTGTAGTCTAAAGTAGAAAGTAAAAAGTAGAAACTAGTAAGTAAGTAGTAAGTAGTAAGTAGTAAGCAGCAGGAGTAGTAGTAGGAGTAGTAGTAGGAGTAGTAGTAGGAGTAGTAGTAGTAGTAGCAGTAAGTAGTAGTAAGTAGTAGTAGTAGTAGTAGTAGTAGTAGTAGTAGTAGTAGTAGTAGTAGTAGTAGTTTTAGTAGTAGCAGTAGGAGGAGGAGGAGTAGTAATAGTAGTAGTAGTAGTATAGGAAGTAGTCGTAAGTCGTCGTCTTAGTGTTACAGTCGTAGTCGTAGTCGTAGTCGATTCGTCTTCCTTCCGTCTGAGTAGGGTCGGAGTCGTAGTAGGATTATTCGTAGTAGGTAGTAGTAGTCACAGGGAAGTTGGGAAGCAATTTCCGAGTTACGAATGACTTTTTACTTGGTGCAATTGACTATGATGAAGGGTGGTAGATCCTGTAACAATACATAATGTACCAATACATCACAAACCAATAAGAAGCAATGAAATTGACCTTGAGGAAGGGTGGTAGATCATATAACAATACATAATATAACAATACATAATGTACCAATACATAACAAAAGAATAAGAAGCTATGAAATTGACCTTGAGGAAGTGATGATGAAGGGGAGCGGTGACGAAGGGAAGTGGTGAGGAAGGCAAGTGGTGACGAAGGGAAGTGGTGACGAAGGGAAGTGATGATGAAGGGGAGTGGTGACGAAGGGAAGTGGTGAGGAAGGGAAGTGGTGAAGAAGGGAAGTGGTGACGAATGGAAGCGGTGAAGAAGGGAAGTGATGATGAAGGGGAGTGGTGACGAAGGGAAGTGGTGAGGAAGGGAACTGGTGACGAAGGGAAGCGGTGAAGAAGGGAAGTGATGATGAAGGGAAGTGGTGAAGAAGGGAAGTGGTGACGAATGGAAGCGGTGAAGAAGGGAAGTGATGATGAAGGGGAGTGGTGACGAAGGGAAGTGGTGAGGAAGGGAACTGGCAACCATGAAGGGGAGTGGTGCATGATGTTGCAAGGGCTCTGTTTTGGGGAGGAAGCCGGAGCACGAAACCTTGTGTTTTTCCGTGTAAAGTGGCTGCAGGCGACGATGAAAGGTACCTCGTCTGTGCGGCGGGTGCGGCTGCGGTCGGTTTATCGTTTTTTTTTTGGCCGCAGTGTAACGGTGGCTTCAAGCTGCTTTGGGTGTGCTTGTGTGTGTGCGTAGTTATAGGGTGTTTTGGAATCTGTGCTTGCAGATCGCATTGGAATGGCTGCATGATGTTGCAAGGGCTCTGTTGTGGGGAGGAAGCCGGAGCACGAAACCTTGTGTTTTTCCGTGTAAAGTGGCTGCAGGCGACGATGAAAGGTCCCTCGTCTGTGCGGCGGGTGCGGCTGCGGTCGGTTGGTCGTTTTTTTTTTGCCGCAGTGTAACGGTGGCTTCAAGCTGCTTTGGGTGTGCTTGTGTGTGCGTAGTTATAGGGTGTTTTGGAATCTGTGCTTGCAGATCGCATTGGAATGGCTGCATGACTGTTGTCATTTGGTGTTCTGGTGTTGTTCTGTGCGTAGATAGGTGCAAGTTTGCGAGTTGCTGCTGCGAACCGCATTGTAATGGCTGCATGATGTTGCATGGGCTTTGTTTTGGGGAGGAAGCCGGAGCGCGAAACCTTGTGTTTTTCCGTGTAAAGTGGCTGCGGCCGGCGATGAAAGGTACCTCGTCTGTGCGACGGGTGCGGCTGGGGTCGGTTTATCGTTTTTTTTTGCCGCAGTGTAACGGTGGCTTCAAGCTGCTTTGGGTGTGCTTGTTTGTGTGCGTAGTTATAGGGTGTTTTGGAATCTGTGCTTGCAGATCGCATTGGAACGGCTGCATGATGTTGCAATCGTCTTTTTCTCGCTTTGTTGTCGAGATCCGGTTTTGAGCTGCAATTTCCGACGCCATTGCACGTAGTTCTATTGTGTTTTGCAACTCAGTCTCTGCAGATCGCATTGGAGTGGCTGCGTCAAGGTTGCTTGGTGCAGCGGCTGCGTAATACTATTGTCTTTTGCAGCTGAAGATTGTAAATCGTATGGAGTGGCTGCATCCAGGCTGCGAAAGTGAATTGTCAGCAGATTTTCCCAATTTTGGCGCTAATAATTTTCCTTTTTAAATTTCTTTTAAAAAGTGCACCAAAATCGTCTTTTTTTCGCTTTGGCGTCGAGATCCGGTTTTGGAGCTGCAATTTCCGATGCCATTGCACGTAGTTCTATTGTGTTTTGCTACTTAGTCTCTGCAGATCGCATTGTAGTGGCTGTGTCAAGGTTGCTTGGTGCAGCGGCTGCATGCGTAATACTATTGTCTTTTGCAGCTGAAGATCGTAAATCGTATTGGAATGGCTGCATCAAGGCTGCGAAAATGATTTGTCAGCTGATTTTCCCAATTTTGGCGTTGATAATTTTCCTTTTAAAATTCCTTTTAAAAAGTGCTTCAAAATCGTCTTTTTGTCGCTTTGGCGTCGAGATCCAGTTTTGGAGCTGCAAATTGTAGTATACTGGGAAGGACTTTGTGCAAGCTTTGTAGTACAAAGTAGTACTGGGGAGTACTTTGTGCAAGTTTTGTGGTACAAAGTAGTACTGGGAAGTAATTTTTGCAAGCTTTGTAGTGCAAAGTAGTATTGGGTGCAAGCTGTGTAGTACCAAGTAGTATATACTGAGAAGTAGTACTGGGAAGTAGTTTGTCAGCTAGTTCGTGGATGTAGGTTGCTATTTCGAGTTTTGTGTGCGATATTGATGTAGGTAAATGTTGTGACATTGATGTTCAGGAACAAGCTATAGAACTCTTGATTAGAAACCACGGTGGCGATGTGTTGTGGCCGCAGCTGTTTGCATTTTCCAGGAGGCAAACATGTGTAGCAAGAAAGAATTGGGAACGCGCATTTGTCAGAGGTGTCATGTCTTCAGGTCTCATGGTTAGACACGAAGATTTTTTCATGTTTTGGAGCGGTTAGTGGATGAGAAAGGTATGCATGATGAGACAGCCATGCTCATAATTTCGGACGTCGCAGTGCGCAAGGAGACGTGGCAGCGCGACCCGTTTCCTAAGACGCGGTGGAGCCATGGCGCAATCGGGGACCTTTGCTGATCTGTTGTCATACATCGAGAAGGAAGCGGCGACTTTGAAGGTGCTGGAATGTAAGACGTTGAAAGCTTGTCTAAGCACCGGAAAATGTTGGAAGTATTAGAAGATGTATCTTGCTCTTGAGAAAACCTTTTCGGCCGAACAGACTCAGGTGATACAAGAATGGGAAAAAGAAAACTGCGTGTCAGATGTGCGAGCAGCCTTTCGGAAGTTTTGTGCTGCTGCAGAAGCGCACTTAGAGGAGATGAAGGCTTTGGGAAAAGGCACATTGCGTGAATCTCCTTGACAGGTAACAACTACACCATGTTTACACTTGCCGTTGCGATTTGATGCAATGCATCAACGCTTGGCATTAATGACTTCAATATTGTAAATATTTTCTGGTCTACGCCTTTTGGCATGTAGAAGAACCAACATGAGTTACGCTCAACCTTGCTGACGTGCAGAAGCGCCGAGAAGAGCTCAGATGAGATGAAGTGTGGAGTGTGAAGAGTGCAGTGTGAAGTGTGGGGCGTGAAGAGTGCAGCGTGAAGTGTGAAGTGTGGAGTGTGAAGAAAGCAATGAGAAGTGAGAAGTGTGAAGTGTGGACTGTGAAGTGTGAAGTGTGGAGTGTGAAGTGTGGATTGGGGAGAGTGCAGTGTGAAGTGAGAAGTGTGAAGTGTTGATTGCGAAGGGTGCAGTGTGAAGTGTGAAGACTGTCAAGTGTGAAGTGTGACGTGGAGCTTCAAATGTGACATGTGCAACACGACACCAGTTTCGCAGAGTGCACGCACGCACGGGCTTGGCTGGCGCACGGCGCATGCAAGTTCTATAGATGAGAAAGGTCTCATATATATCTTTAAGGCAACTTCCGCCCCGCCTCGTGCGGGTACTACTGGTAAGTAGTAAGTAGTAAGTAGTAAGTAGTAAGTAGTAGTAGTTAGTAGTAGTTAGTAGTAGTTGTTAGTAGTAGTTGTTAGTAGTAGTTGTTAGTAGTAGTTGTTAGTAGTAGTTAGTAGTAGTTAGTAGTAGTTAGTCAGTAGTAGTCAGTAGTAGTTAGTCAGTAGTAGTCAGTAGTAGTCAGTAGTAGTCAGTAGTAGTCAGTAGTAGTCAGTAGTAGTCAGTAGTAGTCAGTAGTAGTCAGTAGTAGTAGTAGTAGTAATAGTAGTAGTAGTAGTAGTCTACTCGTCGTTGGCATAGCTGGCCAGATAGGCATATTGTCCATTTTTTCACTCGGTAAGTAAACACACGAGAAACCAAAATTTTTACACGAGAAGCCAATATTTTTTCTACAAAAAAGGGGAAAAATGTGGATGCTTAAACGGCGGCCAGGTGGGGCCCCATTCACCCTTCAGCAGTCCTCATGGATATGGGATCCCAAAGTTGTCATCCCAAAAAAGACTCGCCTAACGGAAAATTATGATTACCATTGCTGGTTGGTGGTGCAATAACCATCCTGAAAAATGATGGAGTTCGTCAATGGGAAGGATGACATCCCATATATATCATGGAAAATAAAGCATGTTCCAAACCACCACACAATTTCCCACACAATTTCCGAAGTCGGCCTGCTCAGGGTTCGGAGCGAGGCCTTTTAGCCCGTCCGCTAAGCACAGTCAGTGCCGTGAAACAGCGCTTCATCCAACAGCGCAAATTTGGCCTGCCGCCGGGCCAGAGGTAAGGCCTCCAAGGCTCTCGTTCCTCTGCAGCAAGGCCCTTTGCAGGCAGTTGCTATCCAATGCTCTGCTCCACTCCAGCTAAAATAGCACCACCGAATGGAGGCTGCGTTGACGAAACTTTGTATGGAATCCCCTTCCACTTTGCAAGCGTTCATTCCAACAGTTTGGCCAGTAAGCTTCCAAAACATTTTCAAGCAACGCCTGAACCATTTGAGGCGCACCAAAAACGGATGCCGCTCCGGGTCCAAATAGGGCCTGGTCTGCGCGTCCAACCACTGAGCTCCATGCTTCACCGGTCCTGGGCAACCAAATGTAAGTTGGTAATCAACGTACAAATGCGCGAAGCTGATCCAGCGGGTCTCACCAGCATCATCACTGGTTGTCCGAGCCTGCCACCATCTGCAAATCCGACGCGCCAAGCCGGCTCCGTATTCAGTTGCAAACTTCAAAGGGATGTCGCCTCTCCACGCAGCAGTGTTGAACTCCACAGGGAAAATGCGCAACTGTCGAGGTTGCGCAATAGGCACCTCATCCAGCGTCACCTGTGCCTCTGTTTGTACACTGCGGCGGGCAACTGCAATGTGCAGGGCGCATACCTGTTCGTGCAAAACTCTGGCCGCCATCGTCTGGTCCACGTGGAGCTTCCATTGATCCCAAAACTGCGGCGACCTGTCAAGGTTGGCGTGCTTGGCCACTCCATCCACAACGTTGTTATGCCAGAATTGCCAAACCTCAGTGCGGCTCTTCGCCTGGTGCAACTTCCGATGGGCTGGGATCTTCACAACCTCGCATCCATCTGTACCCAACATAGCAACTGACGCCAGCACCCATGTCCAAAGGTCAGCGCTGGCAGAGTTAGGTTTGAGCGCAGTTCTTCCCGAGGTGAGCCGGTGGTATTTGTTTACTACCCCCAAACAATCACAGTACACTTTTACCCTGAAAGCCCCTAGCGCTGCATGGTGGAGGATGACGGCCAACGCAAACAACTCACCACGGTAGGAGGTTTGGCAAAGTCCAGGGGCATGGCCCGCACCCAGAACGCCACCACAACTGAAATTCCACTCAGGGGAACACGGATCAGCAAGGATGGCAGCCCACGACGCAACACGGAAGGCAGGGTCCGCTTGCCACAGACAAGAACCGTCAGTGAAAACGTGATTGAGGACACCAGGTTTGAACGCACACGCCAGGGACGGGACCGCACAGGGCACAGAGTCCAACAAACGGAGCCACGCAAGGTGAGTGGGCGGGTAAATAGCCCAGCTGCGCAAGACCATGGCTTCCGGGAGCAAATGCAAAAGAGGGAGCACATCAGGAGCCAAGCTGGTGCGTAAGTCCAAGGTGTTGGGGCATTCGAAGTATCGGTGGCGCAGGGAGTCCAGCTGACCACACCACTTGCAGGAGCCTGTACCTTCATTCCAGTGCACGTGGGCATCTTGGGTGAAAAGGCCCCCGGCCAGGCTAAGGCGGAGCATTGATTGATCATCAACTGCCAGGCGATTGATGGCTTGACGTGTGGTGGTGGTGTCAACCATGTCAAGACCATGAAAATCTTTGCGGTGAGAGACTGCCGCACAGACATACTGGTGCCATTGCCATTGCAGCCTGTGGCATAGTTCAGCAAAGTTGACATGAGCTGGATGGAAAAGGCCAATTCGATCTTCCCAGTGCCCTGTGGGTTTGATGGCAATGCCAACTTTCTGGATGCGTCCAAGCAAAACAGCCGCCGGAGAAGATGGTGGACTGTTGGTGATGCCGGCTGCAAGTGGAAAAAGATCAGAAGCCCAAAAGTCCAGGGGGCAGTTAAGACGGGTCTCTCCTACCGTGCGGATCAGGGCAACAAACTCAGGATCCACATAGGCTTCAACAAGGCCAAGCAACAACATGGGATTGACACCAGGTTTGTCCATACTGAGAGCCTTATTTGCATGGCGTCTTTGGCATAACCAGGTGTTGTCACTGATCGGGGCACTCTCAACAGCAAAAAGGCCTCGTGGCCATGCCACAGTTCGCAGCGCCCGCAACTTGGACCGGTAGCTGGCACGGCTTTGGCGAAGCTGAGTCCAGAAAGGTGTCAGAGCATCAAGGCGACTGGTAACCGTGCTGTTGGTGTGCTGGCGTGAGAATGCCACGTGAGCGCCCAGGTCTTTGGCCGCATGTTTGACCGGGATTCCAAGCGACCTCAGGTTGGCTCTGACCTCGGCTGAGGTGGACCAGGCGTACGTTTTCTGGCGGTCAACTGTCAGGTCGGCCAGGCTGGCAAATTCAAGAAGTGCATCCAACTGCTGTGTAGCGGCTTGGGCATTCCAGGTGATGAAATCCCAATTGTCCACAAAGCTTAGCACCCTCAGCAATGGGTATTGCGCTGCTATGTAGCGGTGCATGATGTCATCCATGATCAACATGCCATAGCAGCTGAGGGCACAGCCTTCTGCAAGTCCGGTGCTGGTGGTGAAGCCAGTGCTGTATGAGTCACGCACCTTGAACCTACGTGTCATGGCGGCCAAGGCCCCACACCAGGCTGTCATGGTAGACAACGGTGTGCCGACTTGCAGGGCTGCGGCGATGATGGGATACCGCGGGAGGCAATTGAAACATTTCTCTATGTCAGCTGTCAAGCCGCTCAAGCACTGATTCTGGTCATAGGCCTGCTGACTGCTTGAGACCAAAACACGCCACAGCTGGCTGGTCTGATGACCCTTTCTGTTTCCATATATATCTGGATGGCACCACTGGTTGGCCTGATCCAGCATGCATCTGGCATGAAGGGAACTGAAAGCTCTGTAAACCATCGAGAAGATGGTTATGGGCCTGTAGTCTTGGGTGCTGGCTGCACCTTCTCTTTTTGCCAGTGACGCCACACTGCCGGTGACTGTCTGCAAAGGCCAACTTCCATCACTACAAGCTCGGTGGTATAGCTGGCACAAACTGGTCAGGCTGTTGCGGTCCAGGTGGAGGATATCTGCTCTGCTGACGCCATCTAAGCCGGTAGCAGCCTGGGACTTCTTGGAGGCAACTTCGGCACGCAGCAAGTCTGGTGTGATGTTTACTGGCACAAGGTCATGTCTGGGAAGGTGGTGTCGGGCAAACCTAACCAGCTGATCCCAGTGGCTGTGGGGGATGTCATCGTGTTTGCACCACCTAAGCTTCCACTGGGTATGGAATGCGGCAAAAACTTCATCAAGTGCACCAACTGGCTGGGTCTGAGTGACTTGATGACCCACTTGCGCATCGGCAATGTCAGACAGGTACAATGTGTCGGCGGTGGCATGAATGATGGTGGTTGGCATATTCCCTACCACCACCGGATCTTGGGCATCAAACAAGACTGGCTGGTCAAGGAGTACCGCACTGTCCTCCGGTCTGATTTCAGCAACCTTGGCCTTTTTGGTGACCAAGAGGCTGGTCACAGGTTCTGGGGTAGGCCTTTTGGTGTCCTTGTAGATCAAGTTTTGATTGCGTTTGTGGGCACAAACCTTGGCTGCTTTCTTGGCGGCGTTCAACGTACGTTCAAAGGCTCGCAGCTCACCTTGAAAGGCTTCACACAATTGGCACGCATGGTTTGCATCAGGTGGAAGGGTCGGCACGGACGCAGGGTCTTGAAGTCCAATGCATTGCCGGGAAATCCACCATGCCTGAAAAGAGGGACCAAATCCAGTTGCCTTCAGGACACTGGCCCAAAGCATAGTGCCATGAAGTTGTTGGTTGGCAACAGCAGTGCCATAGTGATGCATGGCCCAGCGATGGTAATTGTGCAGTCTCCGCAGTTGACGTAGCCATCGGCTGTGCTGAACGTTGTAACCATGGAACGCAGGTTGGAAGTCACTGGAGCGGCCTTTGCGAGGCGGTGCTGCCCAGCCTCTGCGCACTAAGGGCTCAGTTCTTTGGCCTCGGCCCTGCATTTGGTATTGCCATTGTTCACCCAAGTGGTCTTTGGCCAATGCCTCTTTGGCTTGCCAGAGCTGCTTGTACACTTCCGTGGGGGAGCCTTCAGCAAAATCCACTGGCTGGTCAAGTGGCGGGACAACGTTCCACGGCACCGGCTTGGGCTTCGGCCACAGGTATCGTTTGGAAAGCGCACCATCCAAGGCAAAGAATGCTCGCAACACGGAGTGATCTGCAAAACGATCATGGTCAACGAAGGCACACCGAAAGAACGGCACCAACTCTGGCGAAATCCACAGCATGTCCTTGCGAGTACATCCCTTGCACGTCGGTTGAGGTTGGGTTCCAGTACGCAGGCATTCAAGGTCTTGGGCTTCACGCCAGCCTAGCTGGACCAGGCGCTGGAGAGCTGGGAGTTGGTCCATTTCATGGTTGAGGTCACCGCACAGATACCTTGGTCCAGAGGCAACCTGAGTCATATGGCTGATCAAAAATTCCAACATCTCGGAGGAACGGGCCAAAGCATTGTGGTGGACTTTGCCTTGTGGGTAGCCATACATGACTGCGCCTGTGATCCAGGTTTGATTGATGAACGTGCCAGTGATTTGAACTCGGCCGGTTTCAAAAAGGTCTTGGGGCCAGCAAGCGCAAAGTGCGCGGGCAGGAACTCGAGCTATGGTCGCAACTCCAGAGTATTGGCCAGCATCATTGGTGTTGATCCGAGCAGGCAAGGGGGAACCTGTGATCACATGACTATATTGGCTGTGCGACTTCAAGCTGTGTTGCAAAACGGAACGGGCAGTGGTTGTGAGGTGGGTTTCACAAACCGCTATGACATCTGTGTCGACTCCGGCAAGGAGTACGCTTTTTCCCTGTAACCCGGATGGGTTACAAACCCCGAGGGACCATGTGTCGCCAGCGGCTGCAGGACCTGGTGTCTTGGCTTCACCGATGCGGCACTCAGCACCCAAAAACATACTAAGGACAAGGAAAATCCATATGAAAAACCCTGGTGCTCGAAAGCGATGGTTCACCACAGGTTGGGTTGTGGCACTGTGGCTACCGGACCTTCATTCGAACCTGCCTTTCTTTGCAAGTATGGTCTCAAGCTTGTTCATTTGGTCCTCGAACATGTTGGACATGTGGGTACGTTGCACCTCCATTTGGGACATCATCTGGGCTTGCAAGGTCTGAACCTGTGCAGAGTGCTGGCGATGGTTTTCGGCCACTGTCCCCTCCAACGCCTGGTGGCGTGACGCAAGGTGCTGCATCTGCTTCTCCAACGTCTGCAGGCGATCTTCAGTGTCGTCTGTTTCCATGCGATCCATGGGAAGCTTCTCCATGATGCTGCGTTCCAGGCGCTCCTCCAGCTCCTGGAGCTGTGGGGTCATGGTAGGCGCAGGTGGGGCAGGCATTTTTGTCAAGGCCTGTTGCCATGGATCGTGGACTGTCCACGGGTCCTGGGCACTGGTGGATGAGCACAGTTCGATGGTGCTCTGCGGACCAATCACCGTGCCATGCTCTGCCATGCCTTCCCGGACGGAGTCGCAACGTGAGATCATCACCTGGCCATGTTGCATGTTGTACACCAGCTGTGGAGGATCTGTCACCGATTGAACAAGCCACATCACGCCACCGGAAATTGGTCGGGCAGGTTGGAGAGGTCTCGCCTGCCAAGCCCACTCAGCAAAGACACGGCCGATGGACTTACGGTCGCTGCCATATGGGAATGGGCCGCATTGCCAAGTAAGCCTCGTACCTGGAGACAAAAACTGTCCTTCCGGCTTCAGCTTCTGGAACACTTGCTGAAAGTTCTTGGCAGTGACTCGAAGTCCATATCGCCGGCCGGATCTCGCAAGGCCAAGGCTCATCGGCTCGCATTTGGACTGGTGCTGGGCGGTGGCAAAGTCGGCCTGTGGGAGCCATACGACCTGGTACTCATCTGTCGGGGCGGAAGCATCTGGCAACCTGGGCTCAAGATACACTCCATGTAGTCCGGACAGCTGCAAAAGTGCCAGTTCCTGGGACTTAAGGTATCTGACCTGGACGCTGAAATGGCTTGCCTGCGCATGTTTGGTTGGTCGACCTGAGTCCGTGAAAAACTGCCGGCGAAACACATCAAGCAAGGCATCTTGGGCTGAGTCAGAACCTGTCGGGTGCCATTTGCCGCATTGACAGCTGTCATCTCTGCACGTCTGCAATGGCGGAAGGGTCTGCAAAACCTGCTTGAACGGATGATCTGCCAAACTGGACCAGTCTTGGGGCCACTGGTCGGCAAACACTGTGATGCGGGCACATGCGACAGGGACATCTTGGACTGTGGGACCACCATGCGTGAAGACAGGGACAATTGGCTGTACACCAAGTTGGACCAAATGACCTGACAGCAACACTGGTTGGTTATTGACTGCACAGCAAGCTGCAAACCGGATTGTGGACCATTGCAAAGTGGTGTGCAGCTCATCGGGTCCATTAATCACCAAAATGGCGAGGCATTTGTTGGTCAGTGTCTGGCCTGATTGCAAAAATGGCTTGGCTTCAGGAAAGGACATCAAGGCAACGCCAACTGCAAGTGGTCCTACCTGGGATGCGGCAACTTGTGGGGCAGGAGCTCCAGCTTCCATTTGAAAAGATGCATCAGCCAAAGTCAATTTGGCTGGGTCAATGTCCATTGGCTTGGACGGCATGACCTTTGGGCCAGAGGCTTTGGGGGTGGCCTTCTTCGTCTTGCGTTCCTGCATGACTGCGTTCAATTCGTCTGGTATGACAAGTTGCAGTACTGGCTTCTGCTGGTTTGCCAATGATTTCAGAGTCCTCCAGGGTGCAACTCCTTGCAACGCATTCCTCACTGCATCTTGGCCGAGGCTTTGCAACACCAATTTGGCTCTGGTCGGGGCTGCTTGGCTTGGAACTCCATGTTGTTGCAAAAGCGCGCTAAGCACGGCTGTGGAATCTGTCACTCCTGCACCCCAGCACCACGGTCTCGGCACTTGGTTGAAGCCTTCCAATGACTGTCGAAAAGCCTCACGGAGTTCATCTGCTGCATTTTGCAACTGAGCGGCTGTTTCTGGCAGGTTGGAACCGGTCAAGCGATGCTGCAGAAAGGCAATGGCGGCTGCACCACAGTTTTGATCTCCGAACTGACGGCGAGTGCAGGACACATGAAAATGTGGCAACCCCAAAACTGAGCTCAAAAGTCCATGGAGGCAATTCAGGCCATTGATGTCCACATCGTCATGTTCCCATATGATGACTTCCAAAACCGTCGGCCTCAAAATCCACATGCAGGGAGTCCAATGGCCATCAAGCAGAACAACGGATGCAATGCGACTGAATCTTGGCTGCATGGAGGCCCAATACTGTACTGCAGCAGGTGTGCCTGCGGTGAGCCATGTGTGTGCAATCAAAGGATCCAGGATGGCAGTTTCTTTGGGTTTCTGGATGGCAATGGCACTCAAATGCCACCAAACTTCATCATCAGCCCATGCATGTGCCTGATTGTCTAACAGGGAGATTCTCGTGCCAACAGGGACCGTGGGACGACGCATGGAGCTGCAGAGTTCAACATCCGGTACCAACGGAGGTAGCATCGCCAACAGTTGAGGGGCACGCAAATCCAACAATCCATTGACAGTGGAGTCAAAAGGGCACGCAGAAGACGGAACCAAAAGGCCGGAGTCTGAGCCGCGGGAGTCGATGGTCTCAGGACGGTTCTCAAACATATCTTGTTCCGAGGACAAGTCCATCTGCGTGACAGCATTCAGATCTGGAGCATCCTGCGGCATCTCATCACCTCCAAACGACGGGTCATTGGGGTACAAGTCCTCATACTTGCCAATGGTGAGACGGGGAAACAGGGACAGCTTGGCTTCATGAGTAGTGAGGTTATTCTCATCATCTTTGACCCAAATTTCATCCAGGGGGATTGCATGAAGGCGTCCATGTGCCAAGATCAAGTCCTTGACAACCGCAGTTGGGGGGAACACCAAAGTCCATGCACTGAGTCCTGGCTCCTGGATGGTGATGGCACATCTGTCAGGGGCAATGGGCTGGCGTGGGACATTCGGGAAGAGCTCACGTCCTTGGGTCATGACTTCATGTTTCAAAGCCTGGAGCAGTTCATTGGGATCTGCAGGGGTGGCATCAGTGAACAACATGTGCATGTGACGTGCCAGTGATGCTGCCAGCCAAATTGAGTGCATTGGGCATGCCATCTGTCCTATCGCACACAGATTGAGCCGTTGGTTGCTTCCCCAAGGGAGGTTCAAAGGGACCCCATTCAGCAAAGAAACTTCCAGCACGTGCAAATGTCTCCAAGCACCTGCCTGTCCGTCAATGGCTGGAAGCTGCAAAAGTTGTGCATAGATGCCTTTGGTGGTCAGAAGTTCATCACTGAAACCAGTCGGCCTGCATTCACACTCACATGGCTGTGTCTGGTTGCCCCATGAGTGAAGTGCTGTCGGAAGCTTGATGTCGGGCCTGACCTGATGTTGCCTGAGTGATTGCCCACCCAATTGGAAACGTTCAAGTTCCGGTCCTTGCAACAGAAGTTGAGTTTCGTCGCTCGAAGGCCATCGATGCACATACGGCATAAGGTCTCTGGCCACTAGCGAGGAGCCTGTGGGAAAGGCTGGGATCTTCACAGGTCCGATGCAAGGGTGTGTGGCAATGACCCACCAGCGATATCGGCAAGCTGACCAAACATTTTCAAGGCGCAGCGAACATTCAACAACATGGTATCCAAGCTGATCCACCAAGGCCTGCAAATGGCTACGGACGTACATGTTGTCTCTGGCTGGCACTACACATTCGATGATCAACGCGGGAGACTGAAGCAGGTACATCATACGAAGAGTGCCAGGAAGTGATGAAGATCTGCTGTCCTGTTGTCCTCGCTGTGAGCCACCTCTTGAGAACGGTTGACATGCTATGCCGGACATGATGGTGCAAGGGTCAGGGCAATGTGCAAAAACCAGGCTGGCAGTTGTGTCATGGGTGACGTCTGCACATACGATTGGAACCCCAGGGTGCAGTTGGCTGTGAAGTTCAGCGAGCTTTGGCTGTCGTTCAACGGAGCACCTGTGTCGAAAACCGGCACGGGAAAATCCAATGGACGAAATCCCAACACCTGAGCACAACTCAACAAGGTTGAAGACATGGTCAGCAGACAGAGATCGGTGAGCCAAAACCAAACTGGTGTCGTCCAGAACCAAGTCAACCACCGGGCCAGCAGACAAGAAGGACGCAGACAAAACGGTGACTTTGGATGCGCTAGTGACCTCAGGGGGGATAAGTCCAACCAATCTTACCACCTGCTCCCCGGGTACCACCTTTCCCACACCAGAGTTCTGCGCCCAAATGAGATTGTCAATGACCACAGACACCGGAGCCCCATTGCATAGACATGACCATTGTGGTCTGAACAGCGTATCTAAACAGGTTTGTTCGGATGAACCAGACATTGGGTTACAACCTCCCAAACATCAGCTAGCGAAGCCGCCCGTCTGTCACGGTTTTGGGCCAGGGCTAGTTCCAAACCACCAACCAGATTACCATTGATTACCCGTAACACCACCACTTTTTGCTGGCCGTCGTCTCATTTCTACTAGTGAAATCCCAATTTCACTTCATCCAATCCCGCTGCTGGATATGAGCGAAGTCATGGGAGAGCCAACAGACCTACAAAGTCCACAAGCGGCTTGTCCTTTTTCAGAACTCGAAAGTGCATCCGTTTACTGGTTGGTGGTTTCAACCCTACCCCTCTGAAAAATCATGGAGTTCGTCAAATGGGGTTATGACATTCCCAATATATGGAAAGTCAATCCAAATTTCATGGTTCCAGTCACCACCAACCAGTGATTACTAACCATCATTAACCATTATTAACCATCATTATCCCATACTAAACCAATGTTCCAGTCACCACCAACCAGATTTGGGGCAATAGCTGGATTTTTTTCCGTCACATCCCAATGTTAGCTGGAAACTTCCCCTGTCGTTTTTGAGCAACATCTCTGCTGGTCAAAGCTGTCTGCTGGTCAAAGCACCATTCTTGTTAGTCTCAAGACCCTCTCCACATTGATATGGATCAAGATGGTGTTGGTTGTATTCTCATGTCTCCGGCTTAAATTCCATTTTAATCATTTTATTTCAGACAAGTCCCTACTTTTTTTGCTACTTGCCAAATGATCCTGCTGAAAATCAGCGTTTCGAATCCACCGTCTTCAAACAAATCAGCAGAATCTGCTGATGAGGTTCCATTTTCTTCCCAAGTTCCGCTCCAAATCCCCACACCTTCGGTCAGAGTAGGTTTCACCCACCATGCGCTGGCGAGCGCGCCGCCGCCCAGGGCCGGCAGCGCGCGTCGCAGCTCGGGACAGCGGAACCTGGCCAAGCTGGGGATTTCCAAGGGGTGATGTTAGCTGAATAAAAATGTTAGGTCCTGTCAGGTATGTCATAGGGGGAGATTTTGTTAACATCCAAAATGTGAGGTTTTTAGCTTTAAGATGGGGATTACATTTTAATACATTTTACATCACCAACAATGGTTACATTATGGGGATTATGAATGTTGGTAACAAATGGGGATATAGTTACATTATATACGTTAGCAACATTATAGAAGATCTAGATGTTACCAACATCTCCAACATTTATCAAGGTCCCAGATAGCCTGTTGAAGGTGTCTTACCAGCTGAAGATGTGCTCGTCTCCTGTCGATCCTGAGCCCCCCCCAACCACCTCAAGCGCTTGAAGGCCCACATGTTTGCACCTAGGAGGCCACAAAAATGGGCTCTTTGATGTACATGTTACCACCCGTTTCATGGAGATTTCACCAACGAGGCTTTAACCAACAGAATTTATGGTGGCACCAGGGGATTTGAGCAGAATATGAGAGGATCAGCCAATTGAACGGCTCAGCCAGTTGCGATGGTTTCTGAAACCAGCCACTGATAAAAATGGCGTCCAGCATTGAGTGAGAAATGGGCAAACTTGGAAACAAGCTGTGATTTGGTTTTGAGCCCAGCATCTCCAAGTGTTTATGTTGTGATGCATTTCCATCTTGCCATATCTTAATTACCTATCCATCGGAAAGGCCATGAAGTGTGACCGCCTGTTTGGCAGCATCTTTGAATCAACGACCATGAAACGATGCGGATTTGCGACATGAAACAAGTTCCTCTAATCCACGGAATGTGACGGATTCATGTTCATTCCCAAAAAATTACGAGTTTCTCTGAAAATTGAATTTATTTGGGTACATGAAATAACCCCCATCAAAGAGTTCTATCTACCATAAACCATGTTTTTTTCAGCCCCATCCTGTAGTTGATCATCGATGATCATGGAATTCCCTACAGGATGGGGCCCCTAAACGTGATGTGAATGTTGGTTTATAAACCGTAGGAATAGTATAGATATATCTACCACAAAGCATAGTGTTTCACTGGAGTTATAAACGCACCAACTCTTAGCTAACTAATCAACTGTGGGGCACCATCCTGTACCAAAAATTGCCATTTCAGACAGACCCCAAGAGTGTTT